GATTTAGATGTTCTTTTTATGCACTCTCTCGGTTTAACGTATTCTACGACTTTCGTTTAGATCACTAAGACTAAATATCGTTCTATCGTAAATTTACTATTTACGTCACACAGTGTCGTACAGGTTTTGTCGTGAAACTTCGACATGTCATAACTTCTTCGTTATAACTCGGATTTCAGCATTCTTTATATTTTCGGAATCCTCGTAACGACCACTACAACTTCATGTATAGATATCGGGCTGACCTAATATTTTATTTTATCGCTTATTTTTATTCATAATTCATTTAAATCACACAATTAAGCAATAAACACATAATACTCAAATAATACATTCTTATTATTTCATAACGAGTTACAAAGGTTAACCTAGACTGTTACATCATCATTAATGCCTAGCCTAGAAACACGGGCGTTACATGCAATCCCACGATAAATCTTTCCAAGTCGTTCATATCAAAATTAAAGTGAAGTGATTATATGTACATGTTAGCTAGTTGATTATGAAACCCTTAGTCAACTCCCAACTTAATGGAATTTCATGTCGCTTAGATTTGTCAATGTACAAAGTACAATTGATACATACTCCTTCCAACAGCTAAAATGCAATAGCTAGAGGAACCTCAGAAAGTGCTTTGTCAAATGCATAATCTTTCTTTTCGTTCATGAGAACTATTCTCAAATTACGAATTTAGACAAGATTGAGCTTATCCTTTCAGAGGTTTTATAGTAGTAAAATTTTAGCGGACACTTTTTTTCTGTAGAAATCATTTAATAAAGTTTCATTCTAGTTTGTTTTATATAATCCTTAGAATAATAATTACCCAATTCAATTTAAATTATTTAAATAAGGCTAGGATCCATATTTCACTCCAAAATGTGAAGAGGATTAGTCGTAATCACATCAAGAAGTTATTTAGGTAGGCAAACATTTTGCCAATTTCAGTCTCTATGCAACTCTTAGATCTATCGAGATTTATTGACTTATGTCAATAGCATGTTAATATCTTCCACGCTTATCTAACTTTCATGGTTGGATTAGCCGATGATCATGAATTTAGATGGTAAATCAACCAAAACATGTGATCCCCTCGCCCCTCAAGTAATGCTTGAGAATCACGAGTATCACATCACCTCGACTATAATGCAACTAATGCGTTCGTTCTAATCACTAACCTACGTCAACAAATTATAAAGATGGTGTGTGTTTTTTTATAGGTAACATGAGATTTACCTTTTCATAAAACGGGATTTTGTTTTGTTTGTTTAGTTAAAATATTTTAACTTGATCTTCTGAAAACCATTCAAAATTTAGCCAATTTTATAAACCTTTATAAAATCATTTTCTTTGTTATGTTAACTTTTAAGAGTTTGTGACATCTCATACAACCTATACCAACCTCTATGGAATTGGAGAATCTTCATTTGAAGTGCACTTATTTCCATTTTAAAAATTATAATTATATATATATATATATATATATATATATATATATATATATATATATATATATATATATATA